TTGGGTACAAAACTATTTCAGGATTGTTCTTCATGTTGTCCCGTGTGTTAGGAGAGGAAGAACTCAACGAGAGCACTCTGAGGACATGGGGCAAGATTTACCGAGTGCTAGAGCAGGTTAGAGGATCAAGTCAATAATTGAGTTTCTGTTTTATTGCAAGATTCTCTCCAAATCTTTTAGGCCATCATCATTAATCTCGTGGAATATTAGAAGTGGGCTGGTTTCAGTCAATAAATTGAACAAGGTGAAATTCTGAGAGTTGGAAACAGTTTTGTGATAGAAGATGATTTAAATTCTTGTTTTTAAAAACATTCCTTGAAAATCATTACGCATATCGAAGTTTTATTTTATGCAGATTTATTCGTGTTATTAGAAATTACTATTGAAAATTCTTTGTTCTTCTATTATGTTGTGTTATTGTAAATAAATTACAGTAGTCTAATATGCTGTTTCAATCATCGAGTGAAATTTACAACCAACCTTTAACTCAAGGATTTCTTTCTTGATAGTTGCATTGCCGCTAGATACCAAAGCACCGATTTTTTGGTTGAGTCGAAGGTTCTAAATGTTTGGCTCTTTGAAATAGATAGTCACTCTAGGTTCTTTTAAACAAAAAACATTTTGATGAAACGAAATTCTGCTCTATAATTTCACTCGTTCTCTAGGATTGCTATCGTAGACACTTTTTAAGGACTCACGCAAGTTTGTGCATCAGTAAGTTCACGTTCGAGCTTGTTGATCAATGCGGTCTTATCCGATCCACTGTTACCGTTGGCACCCTTATACATGACCACTTGGTCCCGCAGGGAGATAATCTGGGGATAAATAACTTAAATGACATTGAAACAACCAATCAATAAAATTGAGAACAAATCAAAATCAATCAATGTGAATAATATCATGACGTGGAAACATAGGAACGCCTGTGACCAGGGAAGAGGATAGTATTGTAGGGCACTTATGATCATCAAACAACCCTCTCAGCATCAAACAAGAATGTTTTCGGCTTGGAGACCAGTTCTCGCCGAAACAAAAACGCTACGCAGATTAAAAGATTTTTGCGAGATGTCATATACAAAAATTCGCACGTGTATAAATGGGTAAACAGAAAAAATTCTTTATTTACCAAAACACTGAATGATCGAATAATTATTCGAAAGGATATTTCATATCAAGCCCTCTTTAATAGAAGTATTGTGGCACATGAACAACTGGAGAAGAAAATGGTGATTTGCGATGTGATTGCTTCTTACTACTCGACTAATTCGAGTATTCGATTGAATAAATTGTTTCACATGAAACAAACATGTCAAATTACGTA